TTTATACTGGGCATACTGACCACACAGACCCATTCTCTCACATGTGGGCCTACCTGCTGTCTCCAGCTTGATTTGAAGCCACTAGAATTCTGCTGTTTTAATGTGTCAAAAACACTGGCTCGTAAGATGTATACAGCCTCTCCTCACATAGCGACGTACTCATTTACCAATGCCTCGGACTTACGACAGGCTCTCTGACCAGTATGCATGCCTAAATAATGTATACTAGAGCTGATTTTCTCTATTCTGTTTATTACATTATACAGTACACTACTGTATAAACATTTAAAAATATACCAGAGATGTTATAAATGGTGCAAAGGTGACATAAACCCGTAAACAGTCCAAACGTATACATGTATATACATTCTTATGGCTAGTGCCCCAAACGTAAATATATGTTTTAATTTTCCTGCCTCCAAATTTGGCATGATTGGCCTGAGATGCCTGGTCAGCACAGAATGGGTCTTAACACTCATTGTGCACCATATTAAAAAAATCTGGGATCACTTAGTACCTTGTGGGAGCACCAGTTATACTGAGCACCACCTAGAGCAAACAGTGCAGCAAACACCAAGGATTCATATTACAGAATGGACATAAATTTGTTAGAAAGCATTCAGCGTAGGATGACTAAATTAATACATAGCATTAGAAATCTTACTTATGAAGAAAGACTGAAGACTCTTAAGTTACATTCACTTGTTAGACGAAGAATGAGGGGAGACCTGATCGAAGTGTATAAGTGGAAGATAGGTATTAATAAAGGGGATATTAATAAGGTCTTGAGGATATCTCTCCAAGAGAGAACCCGCAGTAATGGATTTAAATTAGATAAGTTTAGATTTAGAAAGGACACAGGAAAGTATTGGTTTGGAAATAGGGTAGCTGATGAGTGGAACAGTCTACCTAGTTGGGTTATTGAGGCTAGGACTTTGGGTAGTTTCAAATTTAGGTTGGATAAGTACATGAGTGGGAAGGGTTGGATTTGAGTGGGACTTGCACATCAGAGCTTATTTCTTGGGTAGCATTGAAAATTGGGTTGGTCAAATGTTTTGTTAGTGGGATGAATTGTAAAGGACCTGCCTAGTATGGGCCAACAGGTCTGCTGCAGTGTTCCTCCTTTCTTATGTTCTTATGTAATGTCATATTAACACTCCCCTTTTAAGAGGAAAGTAATGTTAACCCCAAGTTTAGGGTCTGTCTATCTGTCTCTGTCTATTTCTGTCTGGCTATATCTGTCTATGTGTATATCTGTCTCTATCTGTCTCTGCTGTCTCTGTCTATCCGTCTCACAAGCACACACAAATACAATTATACATAGTGTAAATTACCTAGGATAACCTAAAAAATCCCAAGTCTATACTGTGTTTGTAGATATAATGCATATGAATACCTGTTGGTTCGCAGTGGCTCTCTCTGAGACAGAGAGACAAGCAGAGAGACGGAAAGAGACAAGCAGACAGAGAAATAAGACAGAGAAACAGATAATCAGAGATACAGGTCATCAAATGTCATCCCTTATCTCTACACCCTTGCTGGCACCCATCAAATGTCATAGCTTATCTCCTCTTATCTCTGCACTATCTCATCTCTGCACCCTCGCTGGCACCCATCAAATGTCATAGCTCATCTCCTCTTATCTCTGCACCTTGCTGGAGCCCATCAAATGTCATCTCATATTTGATCTTACACATTGCTTCAAGGGAATTCCTTCTTCCTTCTTCCTCCTCCTTCATCCTCCTTCTTCTATACTCCCATGTATCCAAAACATTGCTGGGACCTATAAATACTTTGTACATATTCCTAGACAATAGTAAATGACCAAGGCAGGTGTAAATGTCCACCTGTCAATGTGATTGTGACAATTTGAGTACAATTTCAGTACCTAATATTAGAGTCAGAACAAAGATTGGTTATGAAATGACAAGAACTACAATAAATTGTAATTATCAGAACATAAAAATTATATAAAATAATATAAAAATGAGAAAAAATGGTATATCGGCAACATTTCTGAAAGCGGCAGGACTCTATTTTGCCGTCAGGTGAGCATTAAGTGCCAACTTTGCAGCCTCATATCTCAGTAAGTACTGGCCCTATTTTTTTTTTTATTTTAATCCTATAACACTTAAAAAATGTGCTGTTTATTTTCATTAAAAAAATAATTTTTTTATTTTTCAAAATATTCGGGGCACTGGGGTAGTAAACATATATATACGTTTGGACCGTTTATAGGTTAAAACAATATCAAAGATAGTTGACACAAACCCACTACCATTCCAGTATGCTCCTCACTTAGCGACGAATTCGTGGTCTTAGGAACGGAACTCCGTCATTAAATGAGGAGAGGCTGTATATACGACACCGACAGTCAAAGGGTTAAATCGTAAATAAATATGAATTTCTTTTTCACATTATCTCTTCATTTCTGATGTCTGGTGTTAGTAATACGTATAACATCTACAGTGTTGTGTATCATATAAGACAACGTTGATGTAGGTACTGACAGACAGACGATTCATCTTGTAAACAGACAACGTTAAATTTACGGTAATGATAAATACAGTACAGTACTGCAAACGTATTTTCTCTTCCTTATTATGTTAACATTTTTTTCTCTAGCTTACTTTATTGTAAGAATACAGTATATAATGCAAATAAAATACGAAATGTGTGTTAATGAACTGTTTATGTTATCGATAAGGCTTCTGGTCAACAGTAGATCATTAATAGTTTAGTTTTTGAGGAGTCAAAAGTTATACACAGATTTTCAACTGTACAGGAGGATGGGGGAGATGGGGAGGAACTCAGCTTCCCTAACTCCCACGTTGTCCAGGAGTTAACTGTATAACCATTCTTCATTTGTTCAGACTTCCTACAATAATATATTCACTACTCACTACTAAAGGTAGTAGGTTGGTAGACAGCAACCACCCACGGAAGTACTACCGTCCTGCCAGATGACTGTGAAACAGAAACCTGTAACTGTTTTGCATGATGGTAGGATTGCTGGTGTCTTTTTCTGTCTCATAAACATGCTAGATAACAGGGATATCTTGCTACTCCTACTTACACTTTGGTCACACTTCACAGACACGCACATGCATATATATACATATATATACATACATCTAGGTTTTTCTCCTTTTTATAATAGCTCTTGTTCTTCTTTATTTCTTCTATTGTCCATGGGGAAGTGGAAAAGAATCTTTCCTCCGTAAGCCATGCGTGTCGTATGAGGCGACTAAAATGCCGGGAGCGATGGGCTAGTAACCCTTCTCTGTAGACATTTACTAAAAAGAAGAAGAAAAACTTTTATAAAACTGGGATGCTCAATGTGCGTGGATGTAGTGCGGATGACAAGAAACAGATGATTAGCTGATGTTATGAATGAAAAAGAAGTTGGAATGTCCTGGCCCTAGTGTGAAACAAAGCTGAAGGGGGTAGGGGAGTTTCGGTGGGGTGAAATAAATGGGATTAAATCTGGAGTATCTGAGGGTTAGAGCTAAGGAACGGGTAGCAGTAATGTTTAAGGATCAGTTTTGGAAGGAGAAAAGAGAATATGAATGTGTAAATTCAAGGATTATGTGGATTAAAGTAAAGGTTGGATGCAAAAAGTGGGTCATAATAAGCATGTATGCACCTGGAGAAGAGAGGAATGTAGAGGAGAGAGAGAGATTTTGGGAGATGTTCAGTGAATGTATAGGAACCTTTGAACCAAGTGAGAGAGTAATTGTGGTAGGGGACCTGAATGCTAAAGTAGGAGAAACTTTTAGAGGGTGTGGTAGGTAAGTTTGGGGTGCCAGGTGTAAATGATAATGGGAGCCCTTTGATTGAACTTTGTATAAAAAGGGGTTTAGTTATAGGTAATACATATTTTAAGAAAAAGAGGATAAATAAGTAAACAAAAAAATATAGGAAATGAGAGACTGGATATCAGATTAGATAGATGTAGTATGGAGGAAGTAAATACATTTAGATACGTATTTATTGGTAAAGGGTTCTATGGAAGACGGGATAAACCAAAGAAATGATGAAGGGGAAAAACTGAATGGTGCATCGATGCATCTGTGGAGACAAAGAACTTTATCCATGAAGAAAAAAGGGGGATTTAACCAGAGTATAGCAGTACCACCAGTGTTATATGGGTGTGACGCATGGGTTTTGAATGTTGCAGCGAGGAGGAGTCCAAAGGCAATAGAGATGTCATGTTCGAGGGCAATGTGTGGTGTGAACATTATGCAGAAAATATGCTGTTTGGAGATTAAGAGGTGTTGAGGTACCAAAAGTATAATTCAGAGGGCTAAGGAGGGGTTGTTGAGGTAGTTTGGATATTTAGAGAGGGTGGAGTAAAATAGGATAACTAGGAAGGTGCATAAACCTGGTGTGGAGGGGGGGAGGGGAAGTGGTCATCCTAGGAAAGGATGGAGAGGGTAAAGGAGGTTTTAAGTGCTAGGAGCTTGGAATCCAACAGGCATGTAAGAGCATGTTAGATAGCTATGGAGGCAAGTGGTTTTCATGATCTGACATGCTGTTGGAGTGTAAGCAAGGTCACATTTATGAAGGGATCCAGGAAAACGAGTCAGCCGGATCTGGCTCCTGGAAGTGAGATGTACAGTACCTGCTGCAGTTTGGAAGTTCATCTGAACTGTGATGTCAGTGCCCTTCTAACAAGACATGATTGAATAAGTGACAGTGAAAGTGTTTTTTTCTTTATCAGGTCACTCTGCCTCGGTGGGAGACAGCCAGAGTGGTAAAAAATATAAGACAACAAAGCTAGCCTTTACTTTACGGGACAATATTTTGCTACGGTAAGAGATCTAATTAAGAAATTATCAAGAAATGATTCAAGCTCCCACTTGAGCAATATGGCATCCAATTAAGGTTCACTTTACTAAGAGCTGGTGTTTTACACTATTTGTCAATAATTTGCCTGCCATTTTTAAGGTAAAAAGCAAATGAATAATAAGATGGCATGCAATATTACATTAAATTACCTGTTCATAAAATTCTTCCTTCCCAAATATTTCTAAAGGGCTGTGAGATTCTGGGATTAGTTCTTTTCCAAAAATTTCTCCATACTGAACTGAACCTGAAATGACAATTTTAAATAGATGTGAGTTGCATAAACATTTTTATCTCTTTTTTTTTTTTTTGTAAAATTTATACCTAGAAGCACACATTAATCAGTGATCATCCACTGAATGTTAAAAATACAGTAATGTATAGGTTATACATGTAAAAATATATACACAGAAGTACAGTATTTAAATTATATTTAGTATATATTATATAAATATATGTTGCATCAAGGATGAGGCTGGAAGTTGTGAGAATATCATATCTGAGACAGAGCTAAGGTAAGAATGTTAGGCGAAGAGAAATGAAGAATCAGACAACTATGCTGGATATGAGAGGCATAATTGAAGGAGCGGAAGATGATGTTCAGTGTTGTTATGCAAAAAGACTGAAAAAGAAAGAGGTTGATAAGAGGACATATAATTCCAGGGTGAATGGAAGAACATACTGTGGACATCAGAAGAAGAGTTGGAAAGAGAGGTGAAATGTGTTTCATGTTATAAGCTCGAACATCTAACAGGAATATGTGGATGAGTGTTATAGAAAGTGGTTCATGGTGCAACTGAAGGATAAGCATAGTAATACTGTATTTATAAAGAAATTCACTCTTGAGTTTAGGAAGTTTGAAGTACAGTGCCTACACTCTAAGTCATGTTAGAATGTTGTGGTTAAATGTTAACAAAGACACTTATAACACGGCCAAAAGAAAATAAAAAGATGTATTGCAATTGTAGAAAACTCTTAAATTATCAGCACACAGCTACACTGTTTTTACCATCTCCCAAAAACTAGCAAGATAAATATTCCCTTGAGGCCCATTATATCAAGTAAAGATAAGCCTCTTGACAAACTAGCTAAATTACTTGGAAATTTACTTTCTTACTATTTTTGGTAAATTTCAAATTCATATATGTATCATTCATTCACACGAGTTCATCAATAAAATAAAGTATTTTCAGTAGGGCAACACAAAAACGTTGAGTCTGGCTGGCGACTCACTTTTTACAAAGTCCCTGTTAATGGCAGTCTTAATTTTACAGAAAGCAAACCTGCTCAATACTACTAAACTACTGCTTCACATTTCCAAAATCTTTGCACTCACTAGTAATACAATTCTACCAATGTTTTCCTTCAAAGATGAATTCTTTTGCCAGAAAAGTGGATGTAGTACAGGCAGCTCATTCTCACTAATTCTCACCAGCCTTTATATGCAATATTGTACTTGGCAAGTAATATATTACTAACTATCAAGTCTCAGGACACATAGTGCTGATACACTGACATTCTTACATTCTGGAAAGAGAGAGGGGGCCATTTAATACTTTCTTGGAAATTTTAACCAACCTCATTCCCAGCATTAAACTTAGCCAGGAAAAAATGGAAGATTATTCTTGAACATTAAAATGGTATAAAATACCGACAGGTTGTTAGGTAAGACACATATGGAACAGTTAGGTATCTTAATTTCGAAACGTTTCGCCTACACAGTAGGCTTCTTCAGTCGAGTACAGAAAAGTTGATAGAAGCAGAAGAGACTTGAAGACGATGTAATCAGTCAATCACCCTTAAAGTTTTGAGGTGGTCAGTCCCTCAGTCTGGAGAAGAGCATTATTCCATAGTCTGGAACAATAGATACCTAAGATACCTAACTGTTGCATATGTGTCTTACCTAACAAGATTATTCTTCCTGAATATCAGAGGAGAAACTATCATTAAAATTTACAAACATCATGATGGACTGTACTATTAAGCCCATAGCACTGTCACTCTAAACACCTTTTTTTATTTTTATTATCACACTGGCCGATTCCCACCAAGGCAGGGTGGCCCGAAAAAGAAAAACTTTCACCATCATTCACTCCATCACTGTCTTGCCAGAAGGGTGCTTTACACTACAGTTTTTAAACTGCAACATTAACACCCCTCCTTCAGAGTGCAGGCACTGTACTTCCCATCTCCAGGACTCAAGTCCGGCCTGCCGGTTTCCCTGAACCCCTTCATAAATGTTACTTTGCTCACACTCCAACAGCACGTCAAGTATTAAAAACCATTTGTCTCCATTCACTCCTATCAAACACGCTCACGCATGCCTGCTGGAAGTCCAAGCCCCTCGCACACAAAACCTCCTTTACCCCCTCTCTCCAACCTTTCCTAGGCCTACCCCTACCCCCGCCTTCCTTCCACTACAGACTGATACACTCTTGAAGTCATTCTGTTTCGCTCCATTCTCTCTACATGTCCGAACCACCTCAACAGCCCTTCCTCAGCCCTCTGGACAACAGTTTTGGTAATCCCGCACCTCCTCCTAACTTCCAAACTACGAATTCTCTGCATTATATTCACACCACACATTGCCCTCAAACATGACATCTCCACTGCCTCCAGCCTTCTTCTCGCTGCAACATTCACCACCCATGCTTCACACCCATATAAGAGCGTTGGTAAAACTATACTCTCATACATTCCCCTCTTTGCCTCCAAGGACAAAGTTCTTTGTCTCCACAACTCCTAAGTGCACCACTCACTCTTTTCCCCTCATCAATTCTATGATTCACCTCATCTTTCATAGACCCATCCGCTGACACGTCCACTCCCAAATATCTGAATACATTCACCTCCTCCATACTCTCTCCCTCCAATCTGATATTCAATCTTTCATCACCTAATCTTTTTGTTATCCTCATAACCTTACTCTTTCCTGTATTCACCTTTAATTTTCTTCTTTTGCACACCCTACCAAATTCATCCACCAATCTCTGCAATTTCTCTTCAGAATCTCCCAAGAGCACAGTGTCATCAGCAAAGAGCAGCTGTGACAACTCCCACTTTATGTGTGATTCTTTATCTTTTAACTCCACGCCTCTTGCCAAGACCCTCGCATTTACTTCTCTTACAACCCCATCTATAAATATATTAAACAACCACGGTGACACCTATGAGTATGAAAGTGAAGATAAGGAATTTCTGCAAGTTGTCTGAAATCCTAGCTAGAATCCTAAATCTATAATTTTCAGGGTAAGGTTCAACAAATGCTTTGTGCCTGGAGTCGAGGCATATCTCAAATCTATGAGGTTACTTGTAAAAGCCTTACTCCTACTGTAATAATAATAATACATTCAAATTAAGCACTAAACCCTACTCCTACTGTAGATAACCCACACACACCTACCTCCCAGGCTTATTGTAACCCTGCATTAAGATGAAAGCTTTTGTTTCACTAGATGATGTGCATACTACAGCCCCTAGACAAGGCATGATTGCTGGCTTCAAAAGGTAAAACATATACAACTTGCATTTTCTGCTGTATTTTAAAAAAGATTAAAAGTGAACATAAAGTATATTTGGAGAAATGCTGAAAAGAATACAAGATTGCAAAGCATCAAAAATATTGAAGAAACATTTGATGAGCTCAGGCAGTCCACAATCTATTTTTAAAGAAGTTATGGATAGAAGCAGAGTATGACCTGAGGGTGACCAGGGGTGTACCACAGTATCAGCATTGCTATGCATGGGTACTGGCTAATTTTTATGGCATTGGTATCAGTATCTATTACGTATCAGTATCTATTACGTATCAGTACCTGTTACGTATCAGTATCTATTATGTATCAGTATCAATACCAGCTTCAGTGGGTATCAGCAAAGTATTGGCATCAGCAAAAAACCTGGCATTGATTGTTCCCTCCTTAACTAAGACCATAGCAGATGTACCTCTTTCATTATAAGCAGAATACCTTTAAATCTTACTATACAGTACATACAGTGGACCCCCGCATACCGTTGGCATCACATAACATTAAATCCGCATACCGCTACATTTTATTGCCATGATTTTGCCTCGCATACCGCTAAAAAACCCGCTCAACGCTGTTCGTCCGAGACGCGTCTAATGTGCGCCCTTAGCCAGCCTCACATGTTCCACCGGTGGCATTGTTTACCAGCCAGCCTCCGCGGTAACATCCAAGCATACAATCGGAACATTTCGTATTATTACAGTGTTTCTGGTGATTTTATCTGCAAAATAAGTGACCATGGGCCCCAAGAAAGCTTCTAGTGCCAACCCTACAGGAATAAGGGTGAGAATTACTATAGAGATGAAGAAAGAGATCATTGATAAGTATGAAAGTGGAGTGCATGTCTCCGAGCTGGCCAGGTTGTATAGTAAACCCCAATCAACCATCGCTACTATTGTGGGCAACAAAAAGGCAATCAAGGAAGCTGTTCTTGCCAAAGGTTTAACTGTGTTTTCGAAACAGAGATCGCAAGTGATGGAAGATGTTGAGAGACTGTTATTGGTGTGGATAAATGAGAAACAGATAGCAGGAGATAGCATCTCTCAAGTGATCAAAAGTGAAAAGGCTAGGAAGTTGCATGAGGATTTAATTAAAAAAATGCCTGCAACTAGTGATGATGTGAGTGAATTTAAGGCCAGCAAAGGTTGGTTTGAGAGATTTAAGAGGCGTAGTGGCATACATAGTGTGATAAGGCATGGTGAGGCTGCCCGTTCGGACCAAAAAGCAGCTGAAAAATATGTGCAGGAATTCAAGGATTACATAGAAACTGAAACCTGAACAAGTGTTTAATTGTGATGAAACAGGCCTGTTTTGGAAGAAAATGCCAAGCAGGACCTACATTACTCAGGAGGAAAAGGCACTCCCAGGACATAAGCCTATGAAAGACAGGCTTACTCTGTTGATGTGTTCCAATGCTACTGGTGATTGCAAAGTGAAGCCTTTATTAGTGTATCACTCTGAAACTCCCAGACCGTTCAGGCAAAAGAATGTCCTCAAGGAAAATTTGTGTGTGCTGTGGAGGGCAAACAGTAAGGCATGGGTCACTAGGGACTTTTTCTATGACTGGTTACACCATGCATTTGCCCCCAATGTGAAAGATTACCTAACTGAAAAGAAATTAGAACTTAAGTGCCTCCTGGTGTTAGACAATGCCCCTGGTCATCCTACAGACGTGGCAGAGCGACTTTATGGGGACATGAAATTCATTAAGGTGAAGTTTTTGCCTCCTAATGCCACTCCTCTCCTGCAGCCCATGGACCAGCAGGTTATTGCAAACTTCAAAAAACTGTACACAAAAGCTCTGTTTGAAAGGTGCTTTGTAGTGACCTCATAAACTCAACTGACTCTAAGAGACTTTTGGAGAGATCACTTTAATATCCTCAATTGTGTAAACCTTATAGGTAAGGCTTGGGAGGGAGTGACTAAGAGGACCTTGAACTCTGCTTGGAAGAAACTGTGGCCAGAATGTGTAGACCAAAGGGATTTTGAAGGGTTTCAGGCTAACCCTGAGAATCCTATGCCAGTTGAGGAATCCATTATGGCATTGGGAAAGTCCTTGGGGTTGGAGGTTAGTGGGGATGATGTGGAAGAGTTGGTGGAGGAGGACAATGAAGAACTAACCACTGATGAGCTGATAGATCAACTTCAACAGCAAGAGGCCAGACCTGAGGAAACTGGTTCGAAGGAGGGAGAGAGAGAAATTGAAGAAATTGCCTACTACAAAGATTAAGGAAATCTGTGCAAAGTGGCTTGAAGTGCAAACCTTCATGGATGAAAATCACCCTCACACAGCTATTGCAAGCCGTGCTGGTGACTATTACACTGACAATGTTGTGAAACACTTTAGGGAAGTCATAAAGGAACGAGAGGTACAGGCCACTATGGACAGATATGTTGTGCGACAGAACTCCAGTGACTCTGAAGCTGGTCCTAGTGGCATTAAAAGAAGAAGGGAAGTAACCCCAGAAAAAGGAAATTGACACCTCAAGTCTTAATGGAAGGGGATTCCCCTTCTAAACACTAACACTCTCTCCTCCTCCCATCCCATCAATCATCACCAGATCTTCAATAAAAGTAAGTGTCATGTAATTGTGCATGCCTTTTTCAGTTTGTGTGTATTAAAATTAATATTTCATGTGGTAAATTTTTTTTTTTTTCATACTTTGGGGTGTCTTGCACGGATTAATTTGATTTCCATTATTTCTTATGGGGAAAATTCATTCGCATAACGATAATTTCGCATAACAATGAGCTCTCTTGCATGGATTAATATCGCTATGCGGGGGTCCACTGTATATTAGAAAAAAGTATTACATTATACAGTGGTACCTTGACTTACGAGTGCCCCAACTTACGAGTTTTCCAAGTTACGAGCCGTCACTCAGTCAATTTTTTGCTTTGAGTTGCGAGCCAAAATCCGAGTTATAAGCGAGCAGTTATTTTGCCGAAAAACGAATGGAAAAAATATTTACTGAAAATGACATTTGGCAAGAACCCCAGCCTAAATGGCACAACGAAAGGTGGTTTTGGAACTTGGTACAGTGGACCCCCGCATAGCGACTTTAATCCGTGCAAGAGGGCTGATTGTTATGCGAAATGATCGGTATGCGAATGAATTTTCCCCATAAGAAATAATGGAAATCAAATTAATCCGTGCAAGACACCCAAAAGTATGAAAAAAAAATTTTTACCACATGAAATATACCTTTTCCTACACACAAAGAGAAGGATACATGCACAATAGTAGAGTAGTACATGCACAATATATATTGTGCATGTACTAATCTACTAAATGAAGAATAAATGACACTTACCTTTATTGAAGATGCAGCAATGACTGATGAGACACTGTGTCCTGGGAGTGCCTTTTCCTCCTGAGTACTGTAGGTCCTGTTTGGCATTTTCTTCCAGAACAGGCCTTATCACACTGTGTATGCCACTACGATTCTTAAATCTCTCAAACCAACCTTTGCTGGCTTTAAATTTACCAATTTTGAGCACTAGTTCCAGGCATTTTTCCCTGTTCACCTGGGTGTTAGTCGACTGGTGTGGGTTGCATCCTGGGAGACAAGATTAAGGACCCCAATGGAAATAAGTTAGACAGTCTTCGATGACACTGACTTTTTGGGTTATCCTGGGTGGCAAATCCTCTGGGGGTTTAAATTTTTTCTTGGTATTCTCAATAAGCCACACCAACAACGGTGCTACAGCAGCAGCAGCAGCAGCTGACAGTGCTACAGCAGCAGCAGACGATGCTACAGCAGCAGCAGACGGTGCTACAGCAGCAGCAGATGATGCTACAGCAGCAGCAGATGATGCTACAGCAGCAGCAGATGGTACTACAGCAGCAGCAGCAGCTGACAGTGGTACAACAGCAGCAGCAGCTGACAGTGCTACAGCAGCAGCAGACGATGCTACAGCAGCAGCAGACGATGCTACAGCAGCAGCAGACGGTACTACAGCAGCAGCAGCAGCAGCAGCTGACAGTGCTACAGCAGCAGCAGACGATGCTACAGCAGCAGCAGACGATGCTACAGCAGCAGCAGACGATGCTACAGCAGCAGCAGATGGTACTACAGCAGCAGCAGCAGCTGACAGTGGTACAACAGCAGCAGCAGCTGACAGTGCTACAGCAGCAGCAGACGATGTACAGCGCAGCAGACGATGCTACAGCAGCAGCAGACGGTACTACAGCAGCAGCAGCAGCTGTACCACCAATAGTAGCGATGGTTGATTGGGGTTTATTATACAACCTGGCCAGCTCGGAGACACGCACTCCAATTTCATACTTATCAATGATCTCTTTCTTCATCTCTATAGTAATTCTCACCCTTATTGCTGTAGGGTTGGCACTAGAAGCTTTCTTGGGGCCCATGGTCACTTATTTTGCAGATAAAATCACCAAAAACACTGTAATAATACGAAATGTTCCGATTGTATGCTTGGATGTTACCGCGGAGGCTGGCTGGTAAACAATGCCACCGGCGGCACATGTGAGGCTGGCTAAGAGTGCACATTGGACGCGTCTCGGACGAAGAGCGGTGAGCGGGTTTTTGGGTGGTATGCGAGGCAAAATTTTTGCGATAAAAGCGAGCAGTATGGGGATTGAACGGTATGCAATGCGTACGGTATGCGGGGGTCCACTGTACTTATAAAACAATGCTAATGCTATGTTCTCACTGGACGTAATCATGTAATTCTCTTTAGTTATTCTACAAAAAAATAAAGTTGCTAGGTTTTTGACATTTGCAAAATATCTTGCCCTTTACTCCCACACAAATCCCAAAATATTAGGAATATTTCCAATATTTCACAAGCCAATTGTAGAACAATCATTTTTTTTTATGATTCCTGTCAGTATTATTGCATTTACTTCAATAATACAAATGGTGGGCTTCATGAAATAAGGCAGTGTTTTCCTTATGAAACTAGTGATCTAGTACAGTTAGCATCTCAAAAACTCCGCTTTCTCTTACCCAGGACCAAAGAACACGTAATAGGAAAGAGCAGTAATAATTTTATATGCTCGGACTGGTCCTGGATGACCACCATATTACGGCCTATTTTATTCATTCTAGAGTATATATCATGTTTCTGTTTTACTGATAGTGTTTATGTCATATCAGATTAAATTTGAAAGATAAATAAGCCATAGAGTTGATACTAGCGTTACATTGAAATATTTTCTCCTGCCCCTCGAGACTCGGGAATTCCACTGACATAAGCAAATGCTCCCAGATGGTTCCTGATCTCCAAGGTAAATACACGGAATGGATTAATAGCATTTTAATTAATTTCAATAATGAAAATTTATTTGATACATGAGCAAATTGAGTAACCAGCTCTGTCACGGAACGTATTAAACTTGTAAGTCAAGGTATCACTGTACCCATGCTGAGTGTTCAAAAGTACTTTGCAAATTACCCATCAATCTCAGGGCCTTGGTTGAGTAATCCCCAATTACAGGAGGTTTATTGTATGTAATTACCTACAGTATTTAGGTTTACGAAGAAAGATAAATTTAGGTCAGTTTTTGTGCAGATTAACCAATCTTCAGGCCTAAAAGAAATTTAACAGAATAACTTTGGACTAAGGAATTCAAAGAGGTAAGAGGGAAGCCGAGTGCCAATCTTTGAACACACCAGGGATGACGAACTTGGAATCCTTCAGCACAGGATTTAAGAATTACAGCAATTCTTAACCCTTTAGAGTTCCAAGGTTCAATTAAGGGTCCCCTGTCTAGAAAGGTTCCAGGGCCCAATCTCAACACACAAAATTGTTGAAGTTACCTCTAACCTACAGGGAACTCATCATCATCATCCTCGAGTAACAAATCAGATAGGTCTAACTCCATCTCAAGGGAAGTGAGGAAATGAGATGTGAATAATGACCGTTTGGACTTGTTTTCAAAATTCATAAGAAAGACAGAGATACAGCAAAAATCAAGAATGAAAAAGGTCTTAGAATGGACCATGGCATAACATACAAAAAGCACATCCAAATCCCTCCAGTATTTCTACATCGGAACATTAAAGAGTTAAACCTATACGTAGAAATGCTACTGACATGTTTCAATAATGTTTTACATATCCTAATGGAAATGAGGGATAATATATGGATACAGATACTGTAACTCTTGTACAAAAAATTAATGGACAAGTTCACATTTAAAATACATAAAAATGAGCAAATCATAAAACATGATTCTTTTATTCTTGTTGCACTATGAATATCCTTCCTGTTTCCTACCTGACTGCTGAAGGAGGTTGACAATTTCAGATTTCTCAAGAAATGCTGCATATGGAATTCCTCGCATCTCTAACAATGTTCGAATCTGGGACACTGATAGATTCCTTAGAGGATTTACAATCTGTTACAGAAAAAAAAAAAAGTTTTTGCAATTAGGACAATAATTTAACATAAAGTCTTACAATCAGAAAAATTAAAATGCATAGGAAAATTAATTAACCTCCACACTCCTCTAAACCACAATACAATTTGTGCACATTCTGCTGTACAAGGGTCAAGGTCCGAGTATGGCAATACAGTAGGGCCCTACTTATGCGGAAGGTTAGGTTCCAGGCTACTGCCAGAAAGCAGACATCGCCAGAAAGAAGAATGCCATTTTTTTTCACTTATAAATGCACATAAATGCCAGATAACAAGTTTACAGTAACACATATTAAGTTAGCAATAGAACTAGGCATTAAAAACAATAAAAACTAAAATACACACACACAGTACACCCATTACTTACCTTAATTGTAGTCTTAATGTAGGGTGAAAGGTGAGTTTTATTTGTAGGAAGTCAGGTGGTAGCCAGCCAAGGCAGCACTCCCCGCCCCACCACCACCCACATGTAATGTAAACAAACCAGGCAAACGCATCTGGTTTTCATCACTTTACACTGTGTACAAGTTGTCTCCATGTTGATATAGTGGAATAAATAAAGAGGAACACTCCCATTTTACTGTAACACCATTTTTAGAAGAAATGACGCTCTGAGTGAGGGCATACAAAAGGAATAATTTTCTAGTTACCCCCAAAAATATTATAGTGGCACATTTTCTCTGATGTTGGACTGCAAGTCACCTGGCTACAAGTCCTACAAGTCACCTGGTTACCACATCTCATATTTATGTTAATTTATTCTACTGTGAGGTGTATTTATCATGTTTTTATGTTACGTAGCATGTTTATTATATATTTTTGAAAAAAATATCATAGATGGATTAATGGAAATATCTATATTAACGTAATATACAACATTTAATGTGCCCAAGAGATTATGTATTATGCTAAGAGTAGAGAGACTCTTAGTGATTTTAATGTGTGCCTGCATGCCAGCACCGTGTGTAAGTATATTAAGGTACAGGTACACAAGTATAATTATCAGAGTACATATAAAATGTGCAATAACTTTAAAACACTTGAAATTTTGGGAAGTTTCAAAAACATAATAGAGAGATGAGCTCACAGAGAATGTAAACAAACCAGGTGGGGTGTGCCATATTTGAAAGACCGCTCGTCATATATCAACTTTTCGTCATAATTTGAAATCACTATAATGGCGGAATGCAGTAAAGCGGGGCCCTACTGTGATTACTATTATGACACAGCTTTTAGAGAAACAAAGTAATGCTTCTATGACATCAGGCAATCAAAAAATAAGCTAATGAAATTAACAGTTTGGCAAACTGTAATAAGAGAATCATATAGTGAAGAAAGGGGAATGACAGGGTATCATATCTTGTTTAGGAGAAAGAGCTTTAAGTCATTGATACCTTTCACCAAGGCCGTATTTGATAAACAAAATACAGTGTACCCTCAGCTAATGATATTAATCCATTCCAGAGAGCTCATTGTTAGACGAAATTATCGTTAGCCGAATTAATTTTCCCCATAAGAAATAATGGAAATCCAATTAATCCGTTCCAGACAGCCAAAAGTATTAAAATTTTTTTTTTTTCATGAAATATACATTTCCCTACAAAGAAAACAATGAGAGATGCACAATAACTATATAAATAAATGTTAAAATGACACTTACCTTTATTGAGTAGTATTGATGAGTGATGAGACACTTTTTTTCTTGAACACTTTGGGATTTTCAGAGTGATACACGAGTAAAGGCTTCACTTTGCAATCCCCACTAGCATTACAACAAAACAAGAAAGTTAGCCTGTCTTTCATAGGCTTGTGTCCTGGGAGTGCCTATTCCTCTTGAGTAATTACCTGGAGTTTACCTGGAGAGAGTTCTGGGGGTCAACGCCCCCGCAGCCCGGTCTGTGACCAGGCCTCCTGGCGGATCAGAGCCTGATCAACCAGTCTGTTACTGCTGGCTGCACATAAACCAACGTACGAGTCACAGCCCGGCTGGTCAGGAACCGACTTTAGGTGCTTGTCCAGTGCCAGCTTGAAGACTGCCAGGGGTCTGTTGGTAATCCCCCTTATGTATGCTGGGAGGCAGTTGAACAGTCTCGGGCCCCTGACACTTATTGTATGGTCTCTTAACGTGCTAGTGACACCCCTGCTTTTCATTGGGGGGATGTTGCATCGTCTGCCAAGCCTTTTGCTTTCGTAGTGAGTGATTTTCGTGTGCAAGTTCGGTACTAGTCCCTCTAGGATTTTCCAGGTGTATATAATCATGTATCTCTCCCGCCTGCGTTCCAGGGAATACAGGTTTAGGAAGCTCAAGCACTCCCAGTAATTGAGGTGTTTTATCTCCGTTATGCGCGCCGTGAAGGTTCTCTGTACATTTTCTAGGTCAGCAATTTCACCTGCCTTGAAAGGTGCTGTTAATGTGCAGCAATATTCCAGCCTAGATAGAACAAGTGACCTGAAGAGTGTCATCATGGGCTTGGCCTCCCTAGTTTTGAAGGTTCTCATTATCCATCCTGTTATTTTTCTAGCAGATGCAATTGATACAATGTTATGGTCCTTGAAGGTGAGATCCTCCGACATGATCACTCCCAGGTCTTTGACGTTGATGTTTCGCTCTATTTTGTGACCAAATTTGTTTTGTACTGTTTGGCATTTTCTTCCAGAACAGGCCTTATCCAAAACAGGCCTTATCACACTGTGTATGCCACTACAATTCTTAAATCTCTCAAACCAACCTTTGCTGGCCTTAAATTCACCAATATGAGCACTAGTTCCAGGCATTTTTCCTGTTCACCTGGGTGTTAGTCGACTGGTGTGAGTCGCATCCTGGGGGACAAGATCAAGGACCCCAATGGAAATAAGTTAGACAGTCCTCGATGACTCACTGACTTCCTTGGGTTATCTCGGTAATTGTTTCTCGTTAAGCCACACCAACAACACTCTCTCCACATCTTCAAGTAGTACAGCTGATGGTGGTGGAGCAAGAGCTGACAGTGGTGCAGCAGCAGGTGACCGTGGTACAGCAGCAGCTGACCGTGGTACAGCAGCAGCAGCAGCTGACCGTGGTACAACAGCAGCTGATGGTGGTGCAGCAGCAGCTGACCATGGTACAGCAGCAGCTGCCGGTGGTGCAGCAGCAGCTGACCGTGGTACAGCAGCAGCAGCAGCTGACGGTACAGCAGCAGCTGTTCAATGATGTTTTTCTTAAATTCAATCGTATTTCTCACCTTCTTTACCACAGGCTTGGCACTGGGAGCTTTCTTTGGAGCCATGGTAGCTTATTTAGTACTTGCAAGCACTAAAATGAGTGGAATATTATGAAATATTTCTTAGGAGCACGTGAGGGGACCTTCGCTCACTGGTAAACAATGCCAGACTGGCTGGGTAGGGAGGCCGCCCCGGCTCACACCGTGCGTACGCGTCCCGGACGAACTACTATTCACGAGTCAGCCTATGATTAGCGAGCCCATGTTTATAAGAAAATATCCCTATGATTTCCGAAATCTATGATTCCCGAGAACTACGGGACTACTTAAAAATAACTCAGTATTACTCAAACTTTTTTTTTGTATATGTTGTGAGTAATAAGTGCTACAAATAAGGTAAATATTGGACAGTTGTGCTGGAAGCCTAGAAAGTTCTCATCTTGCGCAGGAGTGAAGACGCCATCAATTCAGTCTACTTAACCATCCTTTTGTTCAGTCTCTCTGTACACCAGATATTTAGCAACAGACCATTTGAATCCAAAACTCTAGCACTAATCAGGATTGAATTACAGGGCACCATTATTACCTATCCAAGTGTACACAAAAGTTTGTTTATTATAACACTGTACTTTCACAATTATGTTATTAATGCTTTGTTCCATGTCAATTTCATTCATCAATTAGTGATTGTAACTCACAGACTATTACATCTTTCTGAGATAAATTTATCAAGGCTTATCATTCACCAAAACAGTTCACATAATTGCTATCAATCTTAACTATTCGGATGAACTATAATTATTTAATTAATTACGCCTGAAATATTATAGTGCTCTATAATTTCACATAATATCTTTCATGAAAGATACACTGAATGATAAGAGGATACCTTTGGTAACTCTGATAATAAGATCCAACAAGAAATGGGCATTGACTTTACAGAAGGAAAAAAAATTGGAGAAGGGATATCAGAGACCTTCCATTTGAAAGTTATACCCCCGATGTTCACAGAAGCTATGATTAAGTTTGACAATACGTGACATGCAATGACTTTACCTTGTGTGTCACCTTTGCCCTTTATAATTATCCACCGAAATTTTTACAAATTTATACAAGAATTATTATCTGTATAGATAAATAACATTCAGTTTGAATAATACATGAATTTCCATAAGAGTAAATTGTGTATTTTTCCTGAGTATGGCTTTCATGAACACTTGTATATACACCAGTACAGTACTACAATATAGAAGTGGTTTATATCAATAATAAACAGTAATAATAATAAAATTATACCTGATAAGAAGCATAGCCAGTGTCCCACCAGAATCCTAATTCGACAATCCATGTGACAACTACCAGCACTGCTAGGTACAGTACAAGAAGAGCAGGTCTACGCCACATCTTAGCAGTCTGAGTATCTTGAAACTCACTACTGCATTTGACCTAGAAATTTAAAAAAAATTAAAACAATCTACTATGATGCAACACAGTTTGGGAAATATTGAAATGAACTAAAACTGCATAAAGCAATTACCTGTACTCAATATAAAGCAAAGTGCTACAAAAAAAAAAGTAAACTGAATAAACATGACTAATATTTAGGGTATCTAGGTAATTTTTCCGAAATTTTACACATTTCCTCTCCATGTTTCTAATAAGTTATTCCAAGAATTAATAATAAAACATCCACCTACTAATTTTAAGCTAGACATGAGTCTGAGTTTTAGCATAAGTAAAATGCACAGTAATGCAGTATTTCCTTGTTAATTTTAATTTCAAGATTGATTTTGTTGAATTGCAAATGCTTTAGTGTACAGATTTTGGCTAAAGTGTATAAAAAAAATCCTATTGTCAAGCCATTTAAATGTTTAAAACTAACAATGAGCTGGCAATAGCACTGCTCTAATTGAATGTTGCCTACTACAAGTTTCTGAGAAACAAAGCCCCTCCAGACAGTTCTCTATATTTTTCATGCGTTCATCTCTGTGATACGAGCAATTCTGCATTTTTCCATGATGAGGTAATCAGTTCACAACAGTGAATTTTCATTTTCCATCATACTAGGTTTAACACTGGGATTCAACTGAAGGATGGTAAACAAATATAATTATTTTTGTCAATACCAAAGCAAAATATCTTAAAAAGAAAAAAAAAGACAATGCAGTTTAGTTGATCCAGTGAATGAAACTGGTCTGAAATTTTAATAAAATATTCATTTTCCATAAAAATGTGAAAAAAAATTCCCAAGGCCACGAAATAATGAATCTAGTTTTAAAAATGCTCTTAATTAACCAATTTTCAGAAGTAAATTTTCATTATTTCTAATGTTCTTCACAATTATTATGGATTACTTTGAGTGAGAATCAAAACATGCATGTCTACCGCACTGGAAATTAAAATGAAACTTACATGATAAGGATCAACCTTGTGACCTGTAAGGTCTAAATATCACACCAAGCTCCTCTATTCCTAAACTAGAACTTTTATTTTTTTAAGGTGAAAATTGTTTCACTGATGTTAGTCTTCGACTTTCACAGTGACATCAATTATTATCATTATAATAATCAAAACAAGGGAGACAGAGACATCAAACATAATATAGCAATGAATTAGACATGTATGAAACACTTCGGTATCTTTACTGATGGACTGATTACCTCAAACTCCTGATATTCAATCATTCTTCTCTGCATTGGACTGAGAATGCCACTGGTTGGCAAAACGTTTCCACAATAAAGATACCCAAGTGTTGCACAAGTGTCTAATTCATCAACCTGGTGGCTCTCTGAACCAGTTACCTACATAATACAGCAACTTTATAACTAGATCAAAGGTATGAGATAATATACATATGCAACACCTGGGTATCTTTATATTAAGAAGCAAAGTACTCAACTAGACCTAGATTATGTTAGACTAGGTTACTTCAGTAAGGAAGATTACTTTCATGAGATAAAGTAGATTAGGTAGACGACATTTTAGTCAGACTTTTTTTTTTTTTTTTAGCACAATTAATAAACCAGGATAACCCAATAGTCAATATATATCTGTCCTATTTTCACTGGGGTCCTCTGATTCTCTTTCTCAGGATGCAGCCCAAAACAGTCAGCTAACAGCCAGGTACCTACTTACAGCTAGGTGAACAGAGGCAACAGGTCTAAGGAAACATGCCCAACATTTCCACTAGTGCTGGGATGGAACCCAGGTCCTTCAGATGTGAGCTGAAGGCGGTACCACTTGAGCCACCTGCCACCATAGTACTACCTACTGAAACAAAAACCAAATGCATCTACTGTGATTTCTGATATATATTTCACCTTGCTATATAATGTTAAAAGCATCAGAAACATAAGAGAAGAAAAAAATCAAGGTACTTCCACATCATTCATTATTATTAATTAAAACTAAGCGCTAAACCCACAACAGACTACGTCATTCAGAATGTTAAGAGAATTTTCAGAAGTCACTGCAACCACTATGAAAATATTGAAGGTAGACCTGTGATGGCTATGTCATTCCTATATTGATTATTATTATTATTATTATTATTATTATTATTATTATTATTATTATTATTATTATTATTATGGGGCAGCACTAAACCCGTAAGGGTTATAAAGCGCCAAGAAGGCATGGGAGTGATTTAGGTTCAATCTAAGGGAGTCAGGTTCAATTCCTCATTATTATATAATTATGATGGAGTGCTAAACCCGTACGATTATACAACGCATGTGGGGGGGAGATGAAAGGTATACAGGCTGAATTCAGGGAACCAGAGCACAGATCCAATTCCCTAGATCAAGAGCCCCTCACCAGCGTCAAGGAACCTCCCTTGAAGGGTTCAATTCCTCAGATCAAGATCCTCTCTAGGAAAAAATAACTTCGCATAATTCTGTTATCACCATTAATATACTAACTAATATTATGTCATTCTTCGTGGTGTTGTGCTGGTCACTACACCACACTGCTATGCACTAATATACAAGAACTATTTACAACCTTACCGAGGAAAAAAATGTAATTGCTCTTACGCTATAAGTTATCAAACTCTGGCAGGTTCGAGACCACTAAAACACGCTAAATACGACGCGGAAACAACATTGTAGAAGCCCAAAAAAAAAAAGGAGTAATGAGCCCTGGCCTCGGAGCTGACCAATCACAGTCGACCTTACAAACTATCCTTCCAGGGACTATTAATATAAATATTTACTAGTAATATATTACTTAACAAATATATATTGCATTTATTACATAACTAAAAAAAATATTTGTTACATTGCCTGTTAGAATATATGTAGTTTAACATAAGATGGAGCATTAATGAGCGTAATTTTATATATTTTGATGTCACATGAAATAACATTTCCCGCCATGAAACTATACTCCATAAGCAGTAATAGCAATCATTATGAAGAAAGAAAGAGAAGGCCTGAGCTTGCTACCATCTGCAGCTCACAAGACTGCCATCCCCACGAGCCCCTTTGGGGCGGGGCAGATGGCAGACCAGAGGCCTAGTTTCTCCCTACGAGCCCCGTGAGGGCGGGGACTGTGGCTAGGCCTGGGGACACTTGGTCCCAAAGATGAGGGGGTACTTGTACCTTCTCCCATGGGAGACTTAGGTCTCGAGATACTCCCCAGATAGGGAGCCAAGGCCGGGTCACCACTACTTGGAAAAGACCCGGGCCGGGAGAGTACCGGCGAATAAAAAAAAAAGCAATCATTATCATAATCACAGATTAACACTGTTAATAAGAATATAGTAATAATATATTTTTGTTTACTGAAAAGCTCAAGTTAGGCATCCCAACAGGTGGACTATTATGGTAGGTTGTAGTAGGTTCGCCGGTCTTGTCCCGGCCCGGGTCTTTTCCATAGCACATATATGTCGGCTACCATAATCTATACAACATTTCACAAGAACTTGATGTTTTCCTAATACACCCATGAATAACCCATCACACAAGGATAGGTTTTCTGTCATTCCATAACCATCGATAAATGATTTCTTAAGTAAGTTTATTCAGGTATCCACAGATATAGTTACTAGATTAACATACATAGCAGCATATGTGTAGAGAACCTAGGATAACCCCCCCCCCTCACAAAAAATCAAAATTATTTATTTCCATTGGGGTCTATAGTTATTCCTTCATATATTTCATCATCTCGTCAATGGAAGCCATCCAGGTGTGGTATACATGGCAGGAAAACCATCCCAGGTGTCAGTCAGAGATGGGAGACGTGTGAAAACATTGTAGATGGTGCCCATTTTTTTGTTTTTGTTTTGAGGTAGGTGTCCCGCAGTTTGGTTGATAGCGCACTCGCCTCAGACACTGAGGTCCGTGGATCGATACTCGGTATGGGTGGAAACATCGGGTATGTTTCCTTAAGACACCTACTGTCCCTGTTTACTTAGCAGTAAAATAGATACTCGGGTATTAACCAACTGGTGTGGGTCGCATCCTGGGAACAAAATTAACTTAATTTTCCCGAAATGCTCACAACAATGTATCTACCACAGCTGCTAGGAAGATGATAGGATGGATAATGAGAACTTTCATAACTAAAGATGCTAAGCCCATGATGATTCTCTTCAAATCACTGGTTCTCTCTAGGCTGGAGTATTGCTGTACACTAATAACCTTTTCAAGGCAGGCGATATTGCAGACCTAGAGAATATACAGAGAATTTTCACAGTTCGAATAAGTTCGATAAATCACCTAAATTACTGGGAACAGTTGAAGTCCCTTGATTTGTACTCCCTGGAATGCAGACGAGAAAGGTGCATGTGACATGCAAAGAGTATGTTGCATTTTATTTGGCGTATGTCACACTACCATATAGGCTGCCTCCCAACTAGCGAACCGGGTGCTAAGGGCTTAATGCTCAACAGGGCACCCTTTGTTAAGTCACTTCAATGGCCACTCACAGGCAAGCCCGCCAAAGCTGAAGCAACATGGTTCACTTGTGGTAAGCGAATTGACAGACTTGCCTAGCTGCTGGTTGAGCACAGTGCACACACTCTGGCTTCTGCTTTGCCACCTGTCGCCATAGTGTACACTTACTATTCCATCTGTACATATTGTACATACTTGTATATATCTGGTGATGGCAAATATACATTATATTCTATTGTTGAGTTTTGTTTGCTACACATTCCCATTATGACCCGGTCTCTTAGGCCATTCTTTACCTGTGTTCGTAATAGTACATGATAATATAGACTCGGTAAATCCTAGAGGGACTAGTACCAAATTTGCACACGAAAATTACTCCCTACGAAAGCAAAAGACTCGGCAGGTGATGCAACATCCCTCCAATGAATAGCAGGGGCACCAGGAGTACGCTAAGAGAAAACACAGTAAGTGTCAGGGGCCCAAGACTGTTCAACAGCCTCCCAGCATACATATGGGGAATTACCAATAGTCCGCTTGCTGTCTTCAAGAAGGCACTGGACAGGCACTTACCTGACCAGCCGGGCTGTGGTTCATACATCTGTTTATATACGGCCAGCAATAACAGCCTGGTTGCCCCTGATACACCACGAGGCCCTGGTCTAAGACCGGGCCGCGAGGGAATTGACCCCCGAAACCCTCTCCAGGTATAAAAAGGGGCTTTCTATATAGTATGTCATTAATGTCAGCTTGGTCTATATACATCGTACTTATAGAAATAAAGATTATTATTACCACCTGGGTTCATCTGGAGTCAGGACGTGACGACTGATGTTTTCTAGTATGCAAGATTATTTAGGTAAAGGTATACATAAGTATAATTATCATACATAGTGTAAATTAACTAGGAGAACCCTCAAAAAATCAGTGACTTATTTCCATTGGAGTCGCTTGCCAGTCGCAATGTAGCTCATTCTTTGCTGATTATCATACTCATAGCACCTGGGAGAAACAGGTGATGAAGTTTGATCTGTGGAGAGGGTAGGTTCATTTCCTTTGATCATGAGCCCTTCAACAGCATCAAGGTCCTTCAAGGGAACTCTGTTGAGTCATGATGTGTTTAATGGGTTTTTAGTACATATTGTTTTTGTAGACTGCTGTTGTTCGCTAACTCACCCAACAGTGTAGAGGTTGTAAGTAGTGACAACCATATATATCAGGGTGTCTGAATGAAAAACAGAATGAACATCCGATGAATTAAAATAAAATCTTTTGAACAGTCCAACCGTAGGTTAAGTCTTCATAAAATTTTCACTTTGTAGATCAGCAATAACCACGACTTGTAATTATTAAAATAGTAAACTTGATATTATCGGGCGGCAGCCTAGACATCCATGTTTGACAATTTCTGTACCCTCTGAAGCGAAGGAGGATATATAGCAGTGCATTCGGCTCAAAACCCAAATTTAGGAGTTAATTTAAAACCCTTTAATTTGGTTTATAATCGTAATCGAAATTTTTTAAAGGGGGCAAAACCCGGTAAGCCAGGGGGAAGTCCTCAGCCCAAAATGTCGAAAAGCCCCAGGTGTGGGGTTATCTTTATGCTAAGCCCCAAACCGTCCGGAAACAAGTCCTGTTTCCTGCCCCCAAAACATATCTCCCCTTACCACAACCAAATGAATTTGTCAAATTTCTTTAGTGGGGAAAAAAATTATAGAGTGGGCGGTCCCTTTCCCCCCGGGATCGGTGTTTCCGGGAAAACCACTAGTGTCCCCTCAGGTGGACCCCCTTTCCCCATTTTCCTCAGAGTCAGGGGTTTGCCACCCCCCAGTGCCCTTGCGGGGTGGAAACTTGGTGTTGTCTAGCGGGTTTCTACTGTAAAAGAACTGCCCCAGAGGGGTGGAATTACGGGGAGGGACACACGAAAACGCGTCCGTAAATTAACCCCCAAGACACCCGCGCCCGGGGTACACCAGGTGGACGAGACCAAGCGCTACACAGTTCGGCCACCCAGGAGAGGCTTCTTTGTTAGGAGCAAAAAAAAAACTTATGGGTAGTCCCCCCAAACCCCCCAGGGCTGCCCCTGTCACCTAGTTTAAGTTATTTAGCCCTGTTATAGGAATTTTCCCTGAGAAACCCTCAGAAAAACCCGCCACTAAAAATTTTATTTTTTATAAGAGAATCAGTACAGGGTTAGGGCTCATAAAAACCCTAAGTAGGGGATAAAGGGGTTTTTTAAAAACCCGCCCAATTTAAAAGTTTGGGGCACTTATGCAACTTTGGGGGGAATCTTTATTGAGGAAACTTTTCCCCAAACACAGTGGCTTCATCAGCCCAAATACAAAGAAAGAAAGGTGAAAGGGAGGGGGGTTTAATTTTCGAGGTATCAGTCTTCAACTTGTCCAAAGGGAAAGGGTAAAAAATCCCGACAATATGAAATTTAAAGAACATGTGCAAACATCGGGAAATATCTTTATTGTAACTTTTTCGCCATCCATTTGGCAAAAATCAATCAGATTTTTGGACATAATAGGAAGCAGTAGAACTATATACAAAAGTGAGGTAATCATCCCGGCCTTTGGGGAGTTAGGTTCACAGCACGTGGGAGGAGGGGCGGGAAGAAAAGGCAAGAAATTGGGGGCTTTTTTATAGGCGTCAGTGGAAGGGCCGGGCAGCAGACGAGGGCAGTAAAGGGTTTGGGCGGGTTTCCCCCCAGGGGAAAGTACCCCCCCCAAAAGGAGATGGTTGTTGCAGAAACCCGGCCCTTAAATTGTGGGTTTTTAAAAACCCATTAAACACAACTGCCCTTTACACTGCGCATCATGGGATTTGTTACAAAGAATTTTTCAACACTTGCCCAAACCCTTTGGGACGAAGACCTATTTTCGACTAGGGAGGGTCCCCACTAGGCCCCCCGCCTCCCCCTGTTTTTGCCTCCCTGACCCAGTATAAAACTACGTTAGGGGCCTGTTTTTCCCCCTTTTCAAAAGTTTAATGGACTGAAAACATCGACTCCAGGCTGAGGGCCCTGATTACCTCAAACTCCTCCTCCCCTTTTCCCCCTTTTCAAACTTTTTTTAGACTAAATGAAAAACTGTTTTTGGCGAAAGTTTCCTCAATAAAGTTTTCCCATATGTTGCATAAGTGCCCTCAATTTTAAAACCGTAAGTAAATTTAAAAAATTAGAAATTTAATTTGGGACTTTAATTTTTGTGGGGTTTTTTAGTCCCCTAAAGGGGTCCATATCCCAAAATTTGGAAAAGTGAT